ACAGCTGATAAATACCTTCAGCAAAGTGGCCGGATACAAAATTAACTCAAAAAAATCAGTAGCACTCCTGTATACAAAAGACAAAAGGGCTGAGAAAGAAATTAGAGAAACAACACCATTCACAATAGCCACAAATGACATAAAGTACTTTGGTATAACCCTAACCAAGCAAGTCAAAGACTTGTATGAAAAAAATTTCAAGTCTCTGAAGAAAGAATTAGAGGAAGATATGAGAAGATGGAAAGATCTCCCATGCTCATGGCTTGGCAGGATTAACATAGTAAAAATGGCCATCTTACCAAAAACAATCTACAGATTTAATGCAATTCCCATCAAATTGCCAACACAATTCTTTACAGACCTGGAAAGAAAAATTCTCAACTTCATATGGAATAACAAGAAACCCAGAATTGCTAAAACAATCCTCTACAATAAAGGATCTTCTGGAGGTATCTCCATCCCTGATCTCAAGCTGTACTATAGAGCAACAGTTATAAAAACTGCATGGTAATGGCATAGAAACAGAATGGTGGATCAATGGAATCGAACAGAAGACCCAGAAATAAACCCACACACTTACGGACACCTGATTTTTGACAAAGATGCCAAAACCATACAATGGAAAACAAATGGTGCTGGTCCAACTGGATGTCTACATGTAGAAAAATGAAAATAGATCCATACTTATCACCCTGCACAAAACTGAAGTCCAAGTGGATCAAAGACCTCAACATAAAACCAGACACATTAAATCGGCTAGAAAAAAAAGTGGGGAATACCCTAGAACTCATTGGTACAGGAGAAAACTTCCTGAACAGAACACCAACAGCACATGCTCTAAGAGCAACAATCAATAAATGGGACCTCATGAAATTGAAAAGATTCTGTAAAGCAAAGGACACCGTCATCAAAACAAAGCGACTGCCTACAGATTGGGAAAGAATCATCACCAACCCTTTATCTGACAGAGGACTCATATCCAATATATATAAAGAACTAAACAAGCTGAAAATCAACAAACCAAGTAATCCACTTAAAAAATGGGGAACAGAGCTAAAAAGAAAATTCTCTGCAGAGGAATATCGAATGGCAGAGAAGCACTTACAGAAATGCTCAACCTCATTAGCCATTAGGGAAATGCAAATCAAAACAACCCTGAGATTTCACCTTACACCCATCAGAATGGCCAAGATGAAAATCTCAAGGGACAACACATGCTGGAGAGGTTGTGGAGAAAGGGGAACCCTTCTCCACTGCTGGTGGAAATGTAAACTGGTACAACCACTCTGGAAATCAATCTGGCGCTTTCTCAGACAACTAGGAATAGCGCTTCCTCAAGATCCAGCTATACCACTCCTAGGCATATACCCAAAAGAGGCGCAAGTACACAAAAAGGACATTTGCTCAACCATGTTTGTAGCAGCTTTATTTGTAATATCCAGAAGCTGGAAACAACCCAGATGCCCCTCAACTGAAGAATGGATGCAGAAACTGTGGTACATCTATACAATGGAGTATTACTCAGCAATGAAAAATAAGGAAATCATGAAATTTGCAGGTAAATGTTGGGACCTGGAAAGGATCATCCTGAGTGAGTTGTCCCAGAAGCAAAAAGACACTCACGGTATATACTCACTCATATAAACATACAATATAGAATAAACCCACTAAAATCTGTACATCTAAACAAACTAAGCAAAAGAGAGGACCCTAACTAAAATGTTCAATCCCCATCCTGAAAGGCAAAGAGGATGGGCATCAGAAGAAAAAGAAAATAGGAAACAACCTCGGAACCTGCTACAGAGGGCCTCTGAAAGCCAGAAGAAAACAGGAAACAACCTTGAAACCTGCCACAGAGGGCCTCTGAAAGCTTCTGCAGTATAGACTGTCAAAGCAGATGCTGAGCCTGATGGACAACTGATGGGCAGAGTGAATGCAATTTTATGTAAGAAGTGGGAAATAGTAAGAGCTGGAGAGGACGGTTACTCTACAAGCAGAGCAACAGAACAAGATAATTTGAACACAGGAAACTTCCCAGAGACTCATACTCCAACCAAGGACTATTCGTGGAGATGACCTGGAACCCCTGCACAGGTGTAGCCCATGGCAGTTCAGTGTCCAAGTGGGTTACATAGTAATGGGAAGAGGGACTGCCTCTGATATAATCTGATTGGCCTGCTCGTTGATCACTTCCCCCTGAGGTGGGAGCAGCCTTACCAGGCCACAATAGAGGACAATGCAGCCACTTTTGATGAGAACTGATAGACTAAGATCAGAAAGGAGAGGAGAACCTCCCCTATCAGTGGACTTGGGGAGTGGCATGCATGCAGAAAGGAGAGGAAGGGTGGGATCGGCAGGGGAGGAGGGAGGGGCTTATGGGGGGATACAAAATGAATAAAGTGTAATTAATAAAAAATAATAAAATAAAATAAAATACAATCACCATAAAAAAAAAGAGAAAAAAAAGTGGAGAAGGCAAAGTTATTAATTTTGAGGACGTGGTCACTGGTAGGTTTCTCAAGTCCCAGTGGATGCTCTCATATCTATTCACATAAGGGCAATGTTAACTGGGTTTAATGGATTATTAAAAAAAATTTTAGAGAAAGAAAACATGAAGTTTCGAGGGAGATCTGTTGGGAGAGATGGGGAGAATTGAAGCAAAAAAATGGGGGAGAGGATATGATCATATTTCCTTGTATACATGGATAAAAGTAGCAATAATGAGAATATACATTTAAAATAATCGATTCGACATCAATAATCCCACATTATTCCACATTCTACATATTAACAAAACTATAATAATGATTATTATAAAATACTAAGAAAAACTTTATGATTAAAATTCCATGACATAAATGGAAGAAATCCACTTCTTGAAAGACACCTAGGCATTTTTTATATGGGAATATAAAACATCTGAATAGCTTTATGTATATGAAATAAGTTTAAATAATAACTTTACTATGGTTCAATTATTAATTCTATTAAATTAATGTTAAAGGTTATACACAAATAAGCATATGAAAATATGTTTATTGCCACTCATCCTCAGAGGCTTATCACTTTAAGCAATGAAATACAACTAACCCCCTATGAGAATGGATTAAATAAACCTTAAAAAAATAAAATATAAAAAAGAATGTGTAACAAGAGAGGCCACTAACAGGGTCTAATAAAATTTAATATACTCTTCTATTATTCAGCATTTGAACTCTTTGGTGTTTTTATGGGTGACTTGAAAACTAAGTCCACACAAAATATACATACAAATTTGTAAATGTGACACCATAGTAGAAACTTTCAAAAACCACTTGAGACAGGTCCTTGCAGAGACAAAATATTATATACAAATGCATATCCTATGCAATGCAGCAGAGCCCTAATGAAAAAGAAGAGTACAATCTCCTGTAATTCTAGTTTGTAGGTACTCCTATGCTTTCATCTGGCTATATCAAATACCCCAAACAATTGACATACACGGACCTATACACTTGCACACATACACATATAAAAAAATTTTAAAAGAGGACTGGAGAGGTATCTCAGGGGTTAAGAGCATTTGCTGCTGTTGTGGAAGACCCATATTCATTTCTAAACACCCATATTGGAGCTCACAATCATTTCCAAGGAATCCAATGACCTCTTCTTATTTCCACAGGCACAAAGCACACTCATGGTACAAATACCTACATGCAAACAAATATTCATACACATGAAAAACCCACATAGATCTTTGTTTTATATTGGGGTCCTAGGCATTTATACTGGGATAAGAATCCCCCCATTTACTTCCTGTTCAGGACTCTGATGGGAATGAGATCTTTAGTCTGAGACCAATTGGCCTGTATTAAAACGGTAAAATCCAAGTTCCACTCCAAATGAACAAAAATAATTTTTGTGTGTTTCTCGGGAACTCCTTTCCCTCATAAAAAATATATATATGACTGATTGATTAGTGCGACGGGGTTCCTTTTAGAGGAGCATAAACGGGGGTGGGGTGGGGAGGAGGGGCCAGGGTGGGAGGGGCGGAAGTGGAAGACCTTAACTTCCGCTTTGCTAGGCAACAGAGACAGGCCCAATGGACAACTGGGCAGAGATTTGAGAAGTGTCCCCTTTACTTAGGTGAGAAACTTTCTCAGATGATGGATTTGGGTGACTACTTGAGTTAAACATATTCTTTCCCACTATAGATTCCTAAATTCACAACCCTGCTTACCCCAACAATGGCCTGGTTCCTGTACTCTTCCGTAGAATTCCTACATATGGTAGTTAGGCCCGATTGTCATAATGTTCCTCGTTCTTCTTGGGGAGTAAAAGATCTATGTTAGGGGTTGGGGACTTCTCACAAGGAAAAATGGAAGGAAGTATACTATGGATGTAGGGAGAGGTGAATTGTTCAAATTGGAGAGACTCCATACTGTGTGTGGGGTTGGATACACAGAATTCTTCCCTCATGTGGCATAGTTGGGTCATGGCTCTGGCAGGTCTAAGGGCTAACATATCACACTACTTTGTCCATTTGAGAAAGAAGAGGTGGGAAATTAGTGGAAAACATTTCTGGAAAGGAGACAGGAGTCCTTGCAACATCATAGGCATATTTTGTTTCAACTTAATGGTGTCAGACATCAGGGGTAAAGCTTCCCTCAATTTCCCCATATGTGTGACTGCTGAAGACTGGAGTGCTAACTTCAGAGCAGCATGAAGACATAGTTTAAAATAACCATAAGCATTCTTGGGGAATAAAATGGGGCCCTGATGGAATCACTTCTCTTCACCCTAGTAAGCTATAACTTGGATTATCAGGCAGTGGTCTAACAAACTCTGATTCCCTCCACAGATTTTCCAGGAAATGGACTGAATAGGAGAACAAGAACACAATTTGAATCCAGAAAGGTACCCTGAGAAAAACATCAGAGGGGGGCCTCCTTAAAGGGAAATATGTTTATATAGTATCATTCTCTCCCCCCAGATCCTTTCCAACACTTACTCAGAGCACCATGCCTAGGGGTAACAAGAGCAAGAGACGCTCCAGGGCCAAAAGGCAGCAGATGCGTGCAGAGAGCAAGAATATTCAGGATGATCTGCCCCCTGAAGCAGAGGAAGAAACAGCCCCCCCTTTTGTCCAGAAAGATGCCCCCAGCTTCCCTGATGTCCGTCCTACTCAGGAGTCCCAAGAGGCTTCATCCCATGAATCTCCTGAGTTAAATGTGTCCCAGCTAGTCTATGATGCTGGAGCCGAGGGTGCTGAGGGTTTTGTTGCCGGTGCCGATGCAACACATTCAAATATATCCATTATAGCAGATGCCATCCAATCTGCACTCAAAGGTCGTATGACTGGGAAGACCAACAAAATATTTCACTACCTGCTAGAGAAATACCAGATGGATGAGCAGCCTATGGATGCAGATATGTTGAAGTTGATCAGCAGGAAGCATAAGGTTCGCTTCCCGTGGATCCTGAAGAAAGCCACCTATAATCTGGAGCTAGTCTATGGTCTGGAGTTGAAGGTTGACAACCCTAACACTCATACCTATGTCCTTGTTAGCAAGTTACCCATTCCCCCTGGGTCAAGTGTCGGTGGAAAGAAACAATTACCAAAGACAGGTCTCATACTGACCCTTCTGGGTATGATCTACATGAAGGGCAACCATGCCACTGAGGAAGAAGTTTGGCAGTTCCTCCATATGATGGGGATATATCCTGGGAGGAGGCACTTAATCTGTGGGGAACCCCGTAATTTCATCACCAAAGAGCTAGTTGAGCAAAATTATGTGAAGTACCGTCAGGTGGTTGGCAGTGATCCCCCAAGGTATGAGTTTCTGTGGGGTTCCAGAGCCCACGATGAAAACACCAAGGTGAAAGTGATGGAAGTTTTGCGTAAGATCAGAGAAGCCATTCCTAGTTACAATCCGCAACAGTATGATGAGACTCTGAGTAACCAGGGTGAGAGAGCAGATAGAGATGAGGCTCCTGGTGACCATGCTGCCAGGATTCCCTCCTATGCCCATTCCAGCAGCTCCTCCCACACTTAGCTAGCCCTTGGGGATAGCTGTCACTGTGCTGAAGAACAACCAGTGTTCTTAGCAGTGGGTTGTTTACTGGTAGGAGGGAATTCACTAATTGAATATCTTCATCTTCTATTACACGTCGGAATAGTATGAGTATCTTTCTTTCGTTGTTACATTCTTAATATTCCTGTAACTGAAGATTAATTTGTTCCATACATACTTTTTAAACATCATGTCTGCCACACTTATTGCTCTTTGTCAAGTTTAAGAGTAAGATATTTGAGGTTTAAATTTATTGGAAAACCTTTTTTTGTGTAAGTGTAAGAAAACAAGGCATGTGAAAGTGTTTCACAGAATGTGATGTGCTATAATCGGTGAAACAAAATTGGTCAGTTCATCCTTGGCTCTAATGGTTTTGCCTTGAGTTTGTAATTTTAATTGAAAAAAGTTGGTTTTATTACTTCATTAAACTCTGAAAGTAAATAAACTGATAAATTAAGCCTCATATCCAGTCTCTGTGTCATTTCTTTGTTTTCCCCAGTCAATCATTGGGCATCTGCTCTCTTTTAGCTCCTGCCAACCACCATAATTGTGGATCACAACAAAGATCCACCCGCTGCCCACAGGGATTTAGAATTTAGCAGTCTCTACATATAAGGAAGAGGAGAGGATAGATAAGAAGGGCATGCAAGAGGGAAACTATGAAGCACAGATTTCTGATTCAATACGGCTACAAATTACCTATGATTGATGTAATTTAGAGCTCTAGGGGATTGCCTTCCTGTCAATAGTATCTACTTTAATTGGCCCTTCATGGTGGGTGATATGAGATTGTGGGAGTGATGAGCAAGGACAGACTCAGAAAGTGGGACCTTTAACGTAGTGTGAGTTGAAGAATAATGACCACACAGTGCATCACAGAGTTTAACATTTAAGCTAGAACAGAAAGTATCATAAATGTGCTTAAAGTTTAAGCTAGAACAGGAAACACATCATAAATGTCCCTTTGGTTTCTGAGTGTAGCAGGATGAAATCTTGCTTGGGATAGATATGTCTATCCCAGTGTACATGAATACAGTTCACAAGCCATACAGTGAGCTGCAGCTATGTTTTGTGATAAATGGATGATAATCCCTTAAGAAGAAGTTCCAAGAAGAAAATTGTCTATCAAGCAGAATGGATTGATAATGCCAAACTCTCTTTCATTAAATTGTGTTTAAGCCAGGTTTCTTAGACTGTAGTTTTTCAAACTGTAATGGAACCGTTAATATTAGAATGAGGGTGAAAGTAACAAAATAGTCTTGATTAACATCATTAATTATAATGAACTCAAAGAAGAGTAAAAAAACAAAGATATCCATCAAACAATGGGCCGGAATCATACCAATTTATCAAAAGTAATATAAAGCTAAGAAATACCAAAAATATATTCATCATCCTAGTAATTAAAGAAATGCACATCAAAATCTTTAAGATTTCATTTTATTCTAGTAAGAATGACAAAGATCAACAAATCAGAACAATAATAAATGATGGAAGGGTGTGGAAATGGGAACCCTCATTTACTCTTGCTGGTATTTATAAACTATTCAGCAACTCTGGAAATCACTATGGAGATTTTTTTAAAAGTTAACAATAAAACTACTGTGACCCAGCTATATCACTTCTTGGTATATTACCAAAAGAGTCAATATCCTCTTTGACAGATACTTACTTAGCCACATACACTTCTGCTTTATTCACAATAGCTACGAAGTATAAACAACTTAAATGTCCTTCAAGTGATAACTTGCAATAAAAATTTGGTACATAAACACTGTAAAATGCTATACAGCTGTAAAGAAAAATGAAATTATGAACTTTGATAGTAATTTGATGGAACTAAAAATAATCATATTGAGTAAGGTAACTCAGACACAAAAAGATAAGTGTTGCTTGTCCACTCTAATACTACTGTAGTAGCAGAAGAAACCAGGAAAGTAAAATGGTAAAATTTCTGGAATAAGAGAATATTAATGAGAGGAATAAAAGGGTACATATGATCTGATGGGGAAATGGAATGTTTGGGATAATACTTTATTTAGGGATGGGAGAAAGATATAAATATAAATAAATAGGGATAGAGTATAATAGCAGAAAAGATGTTGAACAACTTAAGGAATCATACCACTAACGATCTACTTTTAAATCCCTATGGTACATGTAAATTTGTTAATAAATATGCATATATAGTTTAAATAAAATTCTCCCATCTTCACTGACAATGTTCCCTCTAAGAGCAAAAGACCATCTGTCAGAAACCCCAAGACCAAGCATGAGAAGCCTTCTATTGAGTTGTTGGTTAGTGTTGTCCGAGAAACTGCTCAAACAATACAGACTTTAGCTATTGCCTTTGGCTATAGGTAACCATTTTCTAATTATTGCAGAAGAGCACTTCAGAAATAGGGTTCAGATGCCCTTAAAAGAGAAGTACCTGAAAGTATCCTTCATGAAGACTGGATTTAAGGGTACCAGGAACTGACATGTAAGATTCCAAAGAATGGAAACAACCAAAAGTCTTAACCAGTTTTTATGTCTATGGATTACAACACTGACCAGAATGACACATAACCAAAGGGTACAGTAGCGGAACTCATAGCTTGGCAGTAACTGGCATCCTTCTAGCTGGATTTAAGACCTTCTAAAAATGAGGAAAATGCAGTCTGATACTGGAAGTCTATTCAAATACCCAAGACTAGTGAATTCATATGTCTTAGAGGAGAACATAAAACTGTCATTTTACTAAATCACTATGATCACTAACTACATTCTAAATTTGTGTCCTTATATTCACAAATAAATGCAATCTTTTTTCTTTAAACTTTAATATGTTTTTAATTAAATTTCTTTTTTTATTTTTTATTATTTTTATTTTTATTAATTACAGTTTATTCCCTTTCTATTCCCCCTGTACCTCCTTCCCTCCTCTGCTTCCAGTCCCATCCTCCCTCTTCACAATCCCTGTCCCTCTCCCAGGCCACAGATAAGGGAGGTCCTACTCCCCTTCCTTCTGATCATAGTCTATCAGGTCTCATCAGGAGTGGCTGTATTGTCTTCTTCTGTGGCCTGGTAAGGCTGCTTCCCTCTCAGGGGAAGGTGATAAAAGAACAGGCCAATCAGTTCATGTCAGAGACAGTCCCTGTTCCCATTACTATGGAGAACACTTGGATACTGAACTGCCATAGGCTATCTCTGTGAAGGGATTCCAGGCCATCTCCATGAATGTCCTTGGCTGGAGTATCAGTTTCAGAAAGACCCCTGTGCCCAGACTTTTTGGATCTGTTGCTGTCCTTGTGGATCTCCTGTCGTCTCCAGATTTTACTGTCTCCCACTTCTTTCATAAGTTTTCCTGCACTATGCCCAAAGGTTTGCCATAAGTCTCAGCATCTGCTTTGATACCCTGCAGGGTAGAGCATTTCAGAGGCCTTCTGTGGTAGGGTCCTGTCCTGTTCCCTGTTTTCTCTCTCCTCCGATGTCCATCCTATTTGCCTTTCTGAATGAAGATTGAGCATCTTAGCCAGAGTCATCCTTCCTGATTAACTTCCTTAATTATAAACATTTTAGTATGTTTATCCTATATTATATGTCTAATAGCCACTTATGAATAAGTATATACCCTGTGTGTCTTTCTGCTTCTGGGATACCTCACTCAGGATGATATTTTCCAGTTCCTACCATTTACAAATTTCATTATTTCCTTGTTTTTTCCCCCCTGAGTAATATTCCATTGTATAGATGTACAACAATTTCTGTATCATTCCTCAACTGAGGGGCATCCAGGCTGTTTCCATCTCCTGGCTATTACAAATAAAGCTGCTACAATCATGGTTGGGCAGATGTCCTTGTTGTATACTTGAGCGTCTTTTGGATATATGCCTAGGAGTGGTATAGCTGGGTCTTGAGGAAGCACTATTCCTAATTGTCTTAGAAAGCGCCAGATTGATTTCCAGAGTGGTTGTACCAGTTTACATTCCCACCAGCAGTGGAGGAGGGTTTTCCTTTCTCCACATCCTCTCCAGCATGTGTTGTCACTTGAGTTATTCATCTTAGTCATTCTGATGGGTATAAGGTGAAATCTCAGGGTCATTTGATTTGCATTTCTCTGATGACTAAGGACATTGAACATTTCTTTAAGTGTTTCTCTGCCATTCAATATTCCTTTATTGAGAATTCTCTGTTTAGCTCTGTACCCCATATTTTAATTGGATTACTTGATTTGTTGCTGTTTAACTCCTTGAGTTCTTTATATATACAGGATAATGGCCCTCTGTCAGATATAGGGTTGGTGAAGATCCTTTCCCAATTTGTAGGCAGTCATTTTGTTTTGACTACAGTGTCTTTTTGCTTTACAAAAGTTTTTCAGTTTCATGAGGTCCTGTTTATTGATTGTTACCCTTAGAGCCTGTGCTGTTGGTGTTCTGTTCAGGAAGTTGTCTCGTGTGCCAATGATTTCAAGGTTTTTCCCCACTTTTTCTTCTAAGAGGTTTAGTGTGTCTGGTTTTATAATGAGGTCTTTGATACACTTGGACTTTAATTTTGTGCAGGGTGGAAATTTTAATTTTTTAACATTAATTACATTTTTTTTTGCTTTGTATCCCAGCTGTATTCTTCCCCCATTCCCTCCCAAACACACCCTCTCCCTCATTTCCTTCCATGACCCTTTCGAAGTCCATTTATAGGCGAGGTCCTCCTCCCCTTCCATCTGAACCTAGATTATCAGGTCTCATCAGGACTGGCTGCAGTGTCCTCCTCTGTGGCCTGGCAAGGCTGCTTCTCCCTCAGGGGTGGTGGTGGTCAAAAGGCCAGCCACTGAGTTCATGTCAGAGACAGTCCCTGTTCCTCTTACTAGGGAGCCCACTTGGAGACTGCATTGCCATGGGCTACATCTGAGCAGGGGTTCTAGATTATCTCCATGAATGGTCCTTGATTGGAATATGAGTCTCAGAAAAGACACCTGAGCCCAGATATTGTGGTTCTTTTGAGCC